CGGAAGTGGCGCTGTGGCTCAAGTGGTGGAGCGCTAGCCTTGAGCTGAAGAGCTGAGGGACAGCGCCCAGGCCCAGAGTTCAAGGCCCCACCCCCCCAAAAAAAAGAAAGCGAAGAAGGAAGGAGGAAGAGAGGAGGGAGGGAAGGAAGGAAGGAAGGAAGTCAGTCTTGCAGACTTGGCTATTCGGCCCAGGCCAAGCTTTGGGAGTGGCCGCCGTGCCTTGGGCCCTGGCAGTGCCCGGTCATCTCCTGGCAGGCGCTGGTCCATCCTTTAATGCGCCCCCACCCCGTGTCCACCCAGTGTCCCTAATGCAAGCCCCTGCTCCTCCGCCTCAGGGCCCAAACATGGGCTACGTGACCCGAGGGCTGGACTCAGAAGAGATCACGGGGCTGGACTCCTTCGGGAACCTGGAGGTGAGCCCGCCAGTGGTGGTGGGGGAGAAGGAATACCCGCTGGGCAGGATTCTCATCGGGAACAGCAGTTACCCCAGGTAAAGGGGGGCTGCGGGGAGAAGCGGGAGCCAGAGCGGGGATCCCCCACCTGTCTCCCCAACCTGAGAGGGCACAACAAGCATTGGGGGGAGGGAGAGGACTCCAAGAGCAGCTGGGGGAGGGGTGGCAGGCAACAGGGCCAAGGTCAAGTTCCACGCTGGCACTCACGCTGTGGTCAGTGGATGCGGACTTACCGAGCAGCTACTGTACACCCAGAGCTGGGGACATGCATGCAACAGCCGCACCCCTGCCTCTCCGCTTACCAGGGGACCCTTCATGGTATAGTAACGAAGTCAGGGTATTTGAAAGGAGGGAAAGATAAGAAGGCAGAAGAGGAGGGGGACCTCTGTTGGGGTGACCAGGGCGGGCTTCTCTAGGGAAAGGACTCGAGCTGAGACCTGATAACAAGAAGGACAAGACCATGTGCAGATCATGACAGAGTATTCTGGCATGTGCAAAGGTCCTGGGGCAGGACAGAGCTTGATGTATTCCACAACTGGAGACTTGCATTGATGATGGATCAGGCAGTACTTTCTGAGGCTAGGTGCTGATTTTGTGCCTCAGTTTCCCCCTCCCCCACCAATGAAACTGGAATGACAATTCCTCTAGTCAGCTCCTGAGAGATATGAGGATGGCAATCGAGACTCCCTTCCCTGGTTGGAGGAGAGCTCTCCTCTGGCCCCTGGGCACCTCCCCAAGTGACGCTCCTTACCCTGTGGGGGCAGCCCAGACAGTCGGGACATGCACAAGGTGCTGCAGGACTTCCTGGAGGCCCAGCAGGTGCAGGCTCCCGTGAAGCTGTACTCTGACTGGCTGTCCGTGGGCCATGTGGATGAGTTCCTGAGCTTCGTGCCCGCATCTGACAGGAAGGTGGGCTCCAGAGCTGCTTGAAGTGTGTGTGTGGTGGGGGGGGAGTCCCTCCATGTTCCTGGGAGCCACAGAGACAAAGCAGTGCTCACTCCAGTGCCTCTGCCCCAGGGCTTCCGGCTTCTCCTGGCCAGCCCCAGGTCCTGCTACAGACTATTCCAGAAGCAGCAGGAAGAAGGTCACGGAGAGGCTCTGATCTTCCAAGGAATCAAGAGTAAGTCGATCCAGGCACCGGGTGCTCACACCTGTAATCCCAGCCACTCGGGAGGCTGAGCTCGGAGGATGGCAGTGTGAGGCCAGCCTGGGGCAGAAAAGTCTGTTGAGACTCTCCAGTGAATCAACCAAGAGCCGGGAGTGAAGGCATGGCTCAAGAGCACCAGCCTTGAGTGGAAAAGGCTGAGCAAGAGTGCAAGACCCTGAGTTCAAGCCCCAGTACTGGCGCACGCGCACATACACACACACACACACACGCACACACACACACACAGCGTAAGCCCGCCCTGCCCTACTCTGTGCGGGCCCTGTCCTCCCCGGTCACCAGGCCTCCTACTCCTGGTGGGAGCATCCAGGAAGCAGAGGTCTTCTGAATGCTGTGTGCCAGGCACTGGGTATCCTAGCCAGCCGTGAGAGCAACTACAACAGGGGTTTAGGGACAGCAGGTGGACAGCCAGAAGGGCTTCCTGGAGGAGGCAGAGGCCGTGAGGGATGAGCAGGAGCTGGGGTATAGAGGGAGCCATGAGGGACAAGGAAGGAGGAGCTTGCAGATAGTGGGAGCAGTAAGTGCAAAGGCCTGGGGGCCGCAGAGAGCTGGTGTGAGCGGGAGGACAGCCAGGACACAGGCTGGGGCGGAGGCTGAGCGGCCGTGTGGCTGATCGCTCTCACCCAATGTGCAGTGGGGTGCCGTGGGGTTCCCGGCCGACCCGCTTCCTTCCCTTCCCCCACCCCTGCATGGCTGGGACCAGCGTAGGGTTTCACAGGCGGGGCAGGCACCATACCACCGCATGGCCCCAGCGCACGGCTTCTCCCCTCTAAACCCTCTGTTTTTGGAAGAGATTCTCTGGGATATGAGCATGCCAGGCTGCATGGGATTACAGGCTGCCCACAAGGTGCCTGCACCCTGGAACCCCCCCCTTACAGCCGGGGGTGTGGAGTCTCTACCACACCCACCCGAGTTTTTGCTTGTATTTTCTTTTCCCCCTGACAGGAAGAAGACAGCAGACGATAAAGGCCATCCTGTCCAACAAGGTTCTGAAAGAACAGAACTCCTATGCCCAGGTGGGGAGCCTGGGGGGGCTGGGGAGGGAAGGTCCTGACCACATCCCCACCCCCTACCCTGCCCCTGCTCTGGCCCCGCCCCAACCCCTCCCCCTCCCGGATTCTCCGCCCCCTACCGTCCTTTCCTCCACCTTTGCCCCAGAGCTGCATCGACTGGAATCGAGGGGTGCTGAAGAGGGAGCTGGGCCTGGCCGAGGAGGACATCGTGGACATCCCACAGCTCTTCAAGCTCACGGGCAACTCCAAAGCGAGGCTCAAGGTGGTGGCCTTCTTCCCCAACATGGTGAGGAGGTGGCAGCCCCCCTCCCTCACCCAGGGCCTTGACCTCCCAGGAGGAACAGGGGGCTGCTAGAGGGAGGGGCGCGTCTCCCTCCTCAGGTCTGAACAGCTTCCTCGCTCCCCTTCCCCCGCCTTGTGACACTGGGGGATTCCAGCTGAGGCACAGAGAGAGATGGCATCTGACACAAGAGCACACAGCACCAGGACGGGGCTGTCTGGCTTTGGAGCCCCCCCCCCCCCCCCCCCCCGCTGATACTTCAATGGCATCTGGCTAACAGGCTCTTACCAGCCAGGCTTCCTTCTGCTGAGCAGGAAGGGTCAGTCTTTGTGTGTGTGTGTGTGTGTGTGTGTGTGTGTGTGTGTGTGCGCCCATGCGTGTGCACTGGTCCTGGTGCTTGAACCCAGGACCTCATGTTCTCACTTGGCTTTTGCACTCCAAGCTGGTGCTCTACCACTTGAACCACAGCTCCACTTCTGGCTTTTGGGTGATTCACTGAAGATAAGAGTCTATTGGATTTTGCTGCCCAGGCTGGCTTTGAACTGTGATCCTCAGATCTCAGCCACCTAAGTAGCTGACAGGTGTGAGCCACACTGGCTACAAGCAGGATTTTCAAGGCTGCATGAAAGACTTTCTCTCTGGTCTTTCTGGGTGGGTGGCGCAGTGGGGGAGTGAGGTGAGGGGCTGTTTCTGACCAGGGACCCCCGTTTCCTGCAGGTGAACATGCTGGTACTGGGGAAGCACCTGGGCATCCCCAAGCCCTTCGGGCCCCTCATCAATGGCCGCTGCTGCCTGGAGGAGAAGGTGCGCTCGCTGCTGGAGCCGCTGGGCCTGCACTGCGTCTTCATCGACGACTTCGCCCCGTACCACATGCTGCATGGGGAGGTGCACTGCGGCACCAACGTGCGCCGCCAGCCCTTTAGCTTCAAGTGGTGGCACATGCTGCCCTGAGCGCCGCCCCCCCTCCTCCACGTGAGGCGGGGCCTCCTGGGGGGGGTGATGGAATCTGAGCCAGGCCCTGTGAACAAAGAGCATCAGGTGACCCCAGGCTCCACCTGGCGTGCCCAGGGTGACCTGTCCCCTCTGAAGCCTTTCCCTACACACGTCTGTGCCCTGCCTGAGCCCCATTTGGTTTTCAAACATGAATCCTCTTGGTCTCCCCCAGAAGGACCTCATTTTTGTGAATCAGCATGATAAAAAGGGGACTCCTCTTCCTAACCCCTAAAACCCTTTGGGGATAGATTCATTTGGGGAGGGGGTATCAAGAAGCATCCTGACCCCAGATGTCATGGCCTGTGTGTGTCCTAACGAATGCCCCAGGACTCTGCTTTGGCCTGACCGTCCCTTACCTGGCAGGGAACAGATGCTCCACAGAGGACAGGAGACCCTCCCCTAGGGAGGCCCCGAACCTCCCCTAGGGAAAGACCCGGGGGCCCATTTAGGTGGAAGTTGTGCCATGGGTCCCACTCTGAGCTCCCCGCCAGATGTTGAACTCCGTGCATAGTCGGTACCTATAGATGTGCGTGGAGGGAGTTTGGCTTTATAAACTCCCTATTGTGTGACAGGTAGAAATACAGCATTGTCTGAAATCCTCCTGGAATTTTCTGGATAAGTGACTGGGTGTTGTTTGGGGAGACTGGGTGCTGGGGGAGATGTGCCCCACACAGGGTAGTCACTGGTAGGCCTACCTGCATGAAGAGGGGGCTTCCTGGGACTCCCCCCACCCCAAGTGATCTGGCCCTCCACCTTCTGCTGATCTCTGCGTGGATCCATACCCTGACTGTGGCAGAAGCTGCCCAGAGAGGTACTGCCCCAGGAGTCACGGATGGCTCCTAGAGGGAGAATCCTGGGATGAGGGAATCTGATGTAGGGCGTGGCTAAGAGGGGAGTTGTTGTGGTTGGGGGCGTGGCCATGCAGTGGGCGTGGCTCTGGGCACAGGGCGTGGTTGTGTGGGGCTTGACTCTGGTCTGGGGGCGTGGCTGAGTGTGGGGTGTGGCTTGATGTGGGGCGGGGCTCCTCATGGGGGCAGGGCTCTGAGTGAGGGGCATGGCTTTCTCAAGACCCATGTCAGCTGCATGTGGGTTCTGCGTGGGTTCGGTGGGGTTTCCATCACTGGTGAATAAATCCTCAGAGGCACAAGCAGCATGGTTTCACGTGGGTTCCTTGGACTTGGAAAGAGACAGGGAGGATTGGGGAATTTGTGGCAGCAGAACCATTTGCTGGCCTGTCCCCACCCCACCTCCACCCCCCACAACGTGTTTGGCCTTCCTCAGTTCGAATTTGGATAAGATTGTGAAGCTGCTTTGTCTTAGCCAAGGGGCAAACTACAGCTGTGATGATGGAGACCATAAAGAGTTAGGCAGGGCCAAGGCCCAGCTGGAAGCTGTGGGGGGGCCCACCGTGGAGGCCTGTGTGTGCCCCCTTTTCCACCCACAGAAAGGCTCCATGCAGTCCTGCGATGGGTGGCTCCCGGCAGGCAAAGCCAAAGGGCCCACTCTGAGATGGAGGGGGAGAGGTAGGAGGAGGACTCACAACACAGACTAGGATGTCATCCCTAAGGCTCATTTTCTTCATGGGGAGCTGGAAATGCTGCTCTCCCTTTTGCTATTTCTCCCTCCTTTATTCTGTTACGCTAAAATAAAGAGAGCAGAGCACTTGATCCAGGAGATGGGTACACATTTCTATTGGAAAGACACTCCTTGCCTCCAGTGATGGGTGAAATCCCGCACCTGTGCAGTTTGAGATCCTGCTTCCTCACACGTGAGCGTTCATCCTGGATCCTAGGATGGAGAATTTAGCATTTTCCTGAGGCCATAAGGAGCAACATATATTCTAGATCACGCTGAAGAGGGAGATGCGTGGCTTGGGCCTGTTTAGTTCGGTTCCTCTGAAACAGTGACACCTACAAGGAAGGTCAGCGGTCATCCTGTGAGGCCACAACTTCTTTCCCTGTAAGCACAGGTGCTGGGACCCCCCCCCCAAAGCTCCCACCCCACCCTAGAGCGCCTGGGAGGCACCTCTCCACTCACTACTGCTCTGCCGGCTCCCTGTTTTCTCCAGAGATGCAACACACTTGTGCTAGCCAGTTCTCCTTCACTGTGACAAAATGCCAGAGAAAAACAGTTTAAAAGGAGGAATGGTTCATGTTGGCTTCTGGTTTCAGAGGTTCCATCTCTGGTCAGTTGGTTTCACTGATTCTGGGCCTGTGGCGAAGCAGAAGAAGAATACAGAATATACCCTTCAGGGTCCTATTATAAACTCCTAAGTGGATGAACCCTTCGGTGAGGCCAGCCTCCTAAGCCTGTCACCTCTGAACGCTGCTGCCCTGGAGAGCAAGTGACCAACACAAGCTGTTGGTGACATTTAAGATCCAAGTCACAACGACTTCCCTTTGGGTGACTGGAGAAGGAGTTACAGGCTTCTCTGAGGCCATCTCCTGGCCCTGCTATACTTATAGCTTCTGGAATGTTCTCCCAGTGCTGCCTCCTATACCCAGATTTTGACTAAATGAACCACTACTGCCCACTGAGGGAAGCAGAGACAAATGAGGATGCTGAGAAAATTAGAGTTTTCGGGATGGATTCCGGTCAAGTCTTTAACTCCCACTTCCCACATGAGGATCTGGAAATGTTTCTTTCCTCCTTCTATTTCTTCCTACTTTAATATCTTTGTTTGTTTGTTTTTTTGTTTGTCATTGGTCATGGGACTTGAACTCAGGGCCTGGATGCTGTCCCTGTGCTCTTCAGCTCAAGGCTGGCTCTCTACACACTTTGAGCCACAGCTCCACTTCCGGTTTTCTGGTGGTTAATTGGAGCTAGGAGTCTCAAGGCCTTTCCTGCCCTTGCTGGCTTTGAACCATGATCCTCAGGTCTCAGGCTCCCGAGTAGCTAGGATTGCCGTGGACCGGCTCTGTCGGGACGATGGAGGACACCTAGTGGAGGAACTGGAATAGGTGGGGAGATGGCAAACAGACAACTCACACACAAGAGGAGTGGATGCTGAGTGCGATTTAATGCAGAGGATAACAAACTTTTATAGCAAAAGTCTTCATGAGAAAGGGCAAAAGGTTACACAATCTTGCTGCAAGGCTTCGTTCTTGGGTGGTCACAGGCTGGTCGCCTGATCTTGTTTTTTGGATGACGAGCTATGACATAGGCACTTGTTTTCGGCTTTACCTCTATTTTTAAGAAAACAATGGGTTTCGATGTTTATCACCTATTAACCATTAACCAGAGCATATGGGCAAGGTGCTGAACAGAAAGGCATGAACTCTAGTACTTCATAGTTACTTTTGTTTAGTTTTGTACTTTATACGTTTTAAATCTTTTCTAAGCAATTGTGTTTAGAGGGTTCCCAATTTGTGGCCAAAAATCATGATATTCAGTATACTTAGTTAAATCTGGCCATATATCAAATTTAAGCTCATAGTGTCTTTTCTGTAACCCTTTCACATAATCGTTTACTCTTTTCTATAGAGGCCTTGTTCCTTCTTTAATAGTAAGCACCAAGGAGGACTAGATCTAGCAAGTCTCTCAGTAAATGAAAGAGAGTAATAGGAAGTTCTTTCTCCTAAGTAGTTTTCCCAACGGTTGCCATCCTTATCATACACACCTGTAACAGGCTATGGATCTGGGGGAAGTCTCTGGGGTCCTCTAGATAATGGAGGATCCCACCATTTTCCTCTGATAAGCCATTGCCACCTTTTATCTACCAACCTTTTAGGAATCTTACTTAGCTTTTGGTCTAAATATCCCTCTACATCTTTCTTATCTACAGGATATCTATATGAGTCTATTGTATATGCTTTAGGATTAAAGGGAAGTCTCCAGTAGCCATACACTCTTTCTGCTCTAGCCGTGCCTACAGCTTCTTGTAAATCTCTTACAAACAATTCCTTCTGCTGAAGTGACTTCGTGAAACCCCCAATACTTTTTTTTAAAGAAAAAAAATAGTGTTTTATTAACTACCACACTGTCCCCCAATACTTTTATATTTACTTATGACTTGTCTACTAGCCTCCATAAGAGGGGCTTTCAGGGTAGCACTTAACTCTGGTGAGTTAGTCATATTCTCAGGACACTAAACAGATGTTGGAGTTGTCAACACTTTTAAGAAAGAGCCTTGAATAAGGGAACGTTGAGCATGAGTAAGCACAATGAGCAGCAGGAACAGTAAAAGATTAATAGGCACTCCTATACAGCGAAGAAAAGAAAAGCAGGAACAGAAACACATCTTTCCCAGGGGCTTGCCAGCCTTTCCAGGAGGTAGGCCTCTTTGAAGCCCCATTCTCTGAGGGAGACTTCGGTGAAGTCCCATTCTCAGAGATGGGCCTCTTTTTTTTTTGGGGGGGGGGGTCCGGTTGTGGGGCCTGAACTCTGGGCCTGGGCGCTGTCCCTCAGCTCTTCAGCTCAAGGCTAGCGCTCTACCACTTGAGCCACAGCACCACTTCCGGCTTTTTTCTTTTTGCTTATGTGGTGCTGAGGGATCGAACCCATTCTCAGAGATAGACTTCTGTGAAGCCCCATTCTCAGGTCTGAAAGCAGGTTTCCCATGCTAAGCAGACTCCACCGGAGTAGGCGTGGCATAGGATTATAGGAGTGAGCCACCAAGCACTAAAATAAACCCTTGCTAAAGCATCTACTTGTGAGGCTCCCCTTCAAATGCTTTTGCATGTGTGGATCTCAAGGATCTCTGGCTTTGCATGGAAACCAGGAAGTAGAGTGAAGCCTGCCAGCCAGCCTTCCTTCCTTCCTTCCTTCCTTCTTTCCTTCCTTCCTTCCTTCCCCATCCAGTGACAGAAATGGTGAGCCAGCCAGCAGCAGAGCCTCACAAGTGTGGGTTTATGAGTGACTTAATGCAGGCTAAATTCTGACAGCTGTGAAAGCAATTCTGCAAGGTATTTACTCTGCATTCCCAGACAGTGGCCTATGCCATACTGTGCTGTCCCTTG